GTGTGTGTGTGTGTGTGTGTGTGTGGAGGGAGAGTGTGTGTGTGTGTGTGTGTGAGTGAGTGAGTGAGTGTGAGTGAGTGTGAGTGAGTGTGAGTGAGTGTGAGTGAGTGTGTGAGAGAGAGAGAGTGTGTGTGTGTGTGTGAGAGTGTGTGTGTGTGTGAGAGAGAGAGAGAGAGTGTGTGCATGCGTGTGCGTATACATGCTCCTGCTCAGAGTGTGCCCTGGCTGTTTTGTCACTGCGTCTGGCTGAGAGAGCCTCGCCAGCTGAAGGCAGTTGGAACACCATTTGTGATGCAGTGTTTTCTCCAGCTCGTGGAGAACAGAGTTGTGTTGTGAGGAACCTGTTACTGCGAAAGGCTTTCCCCACTTGGGCCTGCCCTGCAGGTAGAAATACGCTGTGCTCTATATCCGGGAGGTTGGAGCGCTGTGATTACACTTCCTGATTGGTTGTGACTGAGAGCTGCGCCAGCTTGCTGATAGGTGGAACCAAGCCAGCACAGAGCAGAGGGCTGTTCGCTCCCTGCCCTGGAGACTGTCTGATGGAAATAGGTGAGAAGAGCCTGGTAAATACCTTTCCTGCGCAGTTTGGCTGTGCACCATGTTGCAGCAGCACCTCCATGACCCGTAACCTTCCGTACTTTGCAGCGATGTGGAGAGGGCTGAAGCCTTTCTGTCAATGTACAGAGACAAACTCAGACCGTCAGAACCTCAAACTCACCAGTCAATCCCCCACACCCATCGCACCCCCCCCCCCCAACAAAGCGATCACTCGTTCTCTGCTGAATCCTCTTTCCCCCAGACCCCCAACTCGGAACCCCCCCCCACCCCAACTCAGAACCAACTGAAAAGGCTGACGGTCCTTCCAATATCAGGTTACAGCTTGCTGCTGAGCTCAAACCCGCTTTGCTTTGCAGTGGTGACCTTCCTGACTCTCCGGCTGTTTTTACCTTGGCTCGGGAGTGGGCGTCACTAGCCAGGTGAGACTGAGCCACCTTGCTGCGGGTCTGCAGTCACATGGAGGCCAGACCCAATAAAGAAGGCGGATTTCCCTCCCCCAACAGCATCCCCCAATGACACCCACCCAACCTTGCTCTCCATCCAGCAAGCCAGACGCATCAGCAATGGTTCGGTATTCCCGGATAGCCTCGATTGTTTGGCGATCAAATTCCGGTGTTTTGTTTTCCCCCTTCCGCCACGCTGAGGTGGGGTGATTCGAGACCAGTTAGCCAGGACACGGGGTCAAATGCCCCTGTACCGCTCGCCCAGTCAGGTTGGAGCCTGGGCCCAAGCGACACTGGGTTGAGACATGGCCGTAATCCTGCCCCTTACCTTGGTCATGTGCGTGAGTGAGGCACCATGGTCTAGCAGCACCTCCACCACATCCAGGTGGCCCTCCCGGGAGGCCAGGTGCAGGGGTGTGTGGCCAGTGGTGGTGGCCGATTTCGGGCACGCCCCATTCTCCAGCAGGAGCTTGACCACTTCGAGATGGCCGAGGCGGGCAGCGCAGTGCAGGGGAGTCTGATCGTCCTGTGTACGAAGCAAAGGCAGCATGTGAGAGACAGAGAGAGAGAGAGAGAGAGAGAGAGAGAGAGAGATGCCACCGAACCGCACGAGAACTGTGGCTCACACTATCACCGACACGGCCCAGCATGTCCGCGTCCGACTGCTACAGGAGGGAACGCAAAAAAATTCGCCAAGTCAAACAGCGGCCTTGCCATCTCCAAACTCCCACGGTTACTCTCAGACAGCCTGGCTGGCTTTGCGGTGTCAGCTTTTCATTATTGCTGGGAGACTTCCAGTTAAAGATGGAGTGACACAGCCTCCTACTTACTCCCTCTGTCTCTCTCTCTCTCTGTCTGAATCCAAGCTTTCAGGACGCGATTCCCTGTGCCCTGACTGAGCCAAACCTGTTCACACTCGGATTCCCTCCCCAACAGGCTGCTTCTGCAGAAGTATCACTGTGCACACCCAAGTTCGGTTCCAGTCGCCCCACTGAGGGTCCGAAAGTATTTGTGACTCTAACTTTCAGGCAGACAGTGGGACATCGGAGACCTGAATCTGTCTGCTGCGAGTTTATTGCTGATACTAGCTCAGGTAGGACAATAATAGACGCTGCCATATTGACATTGTGGTTGTTTCTTCTGGACACTGTCATCAGTCAAGATAGGGGCAGAGTCAAAGGGCCATCCAGCACAGAAACAGACCCTTCGGCCCAACCAGTCCGTGCCGACCATATTCCCAAACTGAACTAGCCCCACCTGCCTGCTCCTAGCCCATACCCCTCCAAACCTTTCCTATTCATGTACATATCCAAATGTCTTTTAAATTTTGTAACTGTACCTGCATCCACCACTTCCTCCAGAAGTTCATCCCACACACAAACCACTCTCTGTGCAAAAAAAATTGCTCCTCATTTCTTCTTTAAATCCCTCTCCTCTCACCTTAAAACTGTGGCCCCTGGTCTTGAAATCCCCCACCCTTGGGAAAAGACTGCTCCTGTTAACCCTATCTATACCCCTCATGATTTTATAAACTTCTGTCAGGTCGCCTCTCAACCTCCCACACTCCAGTGAGAAAGAAATCTCAGCCTAACCAGCCTTTCTTTACAACTTGTTGTGAAGGCGGGTGGAATACTTGTGAACTGGAAGGCGGGAAGTTCGAATTTATTGGGAAAAGTGATTAATTTGGGAAAAAAGCAGTGTCGTGGTCCCTTTAAGAGATGGTGTTTTGTCTGCGCTCTGAAGTTTACACCTACTGAATGGAGAGCCCCAAAAAGTGAAACAAGTCTATCAAGAGGCCTTACAGGTGGCAGGCAAAACAGCTTTGGTATTGAGACAACAAGTTTGAATTTGGCCAATTAATTTAAACCAAGCACTCAGCGATTCAAAGCCAATTGAATTTAAAAACTGATGGTGTGGACGACCTGAAACCAATCATATTAGAACAATTTGATGTGTCACAGGGGAGAGAGAAGAAAAAGTTTTGTTTTGAACATCAGGAGGAGGGGCAAACTTCAGCTGCAGCGAAAGCAAGCCCACCAGCTGAGAGATGAAACTGCCTTTTGCACAAAACCATGAAGCTCTCTGAAAAGACCCATTGACAGTAACACCGCATTTGAGCTGCAAGTCCTCACCAATGAAATTACAGGGAAAAAACACATCCCTGACAGCAGAATCAGCGGAACAAAGACGTTTGTGGCGTAACGGAGAAAGCAGAG